CCTTCCAGAACTTCAGAGGCACGCCCACTGATACCGCAAACACCGGCGTGAGTGGTTCTACTATGCTCAACAACAATAGGCAGGGATTTGGGACGACTTTGCCATCACGTACGGAAACTTCATCATTTCTAGATTCGGACTTACCAAACACCATCAACGTTGACCCACAAGGTAATATGTGGACTGAATATGACGCGGACGCCGACCTGCTCCAAGCACTGGTTCAATTTGACGCCGATTCAACAATATTTACCTCTGGAACAGGAGTATGAGATCGAGACTCTGGAGAGACACTCATATTGTGTTTGTGATCTCCTAATGAAAGGTCATGACCATTGCAGTTCTTGTGTGTCAGGCGCGAGAGTTGATATGTAAACCTTCTCCCGTCTGTTTAAAGATTCCTCGGACGTGGTATCACATAGTGTTGATTGTTCCGAGTAGAGTCAGTTTAAGGGGGGTCAATGACCCCCATCAATAATATATTGTGTTACCAACAAGGCAAATTCCAGCCTCGCGTCGACTAACAAGATTCTGCACGTGCGCATTGCCGAGGATTCGAGTTTTTAACTCCTCGGGCCGAGACTTCAGACATGTAGAAACAAGCATTGGACCTTGACTCGAACATGACAGCTTGAGCAGGCTCGTGTAACGCATGCGCAAGGCTGTCCCTGTCGCAATCAGGCTATTCTAGCTACGCAGTTCAGACCAACTGGATCCCTGATTCCAGTCATCAGCAGCCTCTGAGTCGTTCTGATCATCATTGACGGTATCTGAATCAGCAGTCGACATCTTCACGTAAAATGAGCTGCCGCCGTGGCCCATCACGACCCCAGAAATCGACTCTGTTGTCTGTTCAAAACACCTTCTTGAGAGGCAGATACCTTGTTCGACTTTGAGTTCCACAAAACACTCGCCCTGTCTCACTGGTGACATGTCAACCATCGAACGGAGAAGCTCTAGAGAAGGATCACAGTCCATGTCCCCGATCGAGCGAGAGCTCTCTCTTTCCCGAGTGAGGGGTGATTCTGCTGGCGGAGAAGAGGGTTTCACCAATAAAGCGCCCCTCACGCTTCCACCATGGGCTCGAGGGGTTTACGGCGGACAGATTATTGCCCAGGCATTGCTGGCTGCCTACGAGACCGTGCCCGCGGCATTTGCCGTGCATAGCATACATTGCCATTTCCTGAATGCCGCGACTGTGGACGCTCCAATCGTCTACCACGTGGAGAGGGTTCGCGATGGATCAAACTTCACCACTCGAGTCGTCCGCGCGAGACAGAGGCAGAGACTCGTCGCCTCGGCGACCGCCAGTTTTACTCGGGAAAGGACTGGAGCCAAGTCACTTAAACATGCATCGCCAATGCCGGACGACGAGACTCCGCCCCCTGACGACCTTGAGGCCCACGCACAGTCCGCCGCGGGTCAAGCGGACCCAGACCGTCCGTGTGATTGTGTGCGCTCTCGTCTGGAAAGTAAAGGTCTATTACCCCATGAGCGAAGAGCTCGACAATGGGTGCGAGCCCGTGGCAAAATTGGGGAGACATCCCCTCCTGACGGCGATAACAGGGGAGTTGGTCCCGGCTCGCAGGATGGACATCGGGCGCACGTCGCGGCGTTGGCTTACATGAGCGACAACTACTTCATCGGCACCGCCTATCGCGTCCACAATGCTTCTCGCTTTTCCGGCCTATCGTCGCCGCACCCGATGCTGGCGAGGACAGAGACCGCCGCTGCCGCTGCAGGATCAAACCCAGCGGCCGCGCAGGCGTATTTTGACTGGCTGGCCGAAGAGGAGCGCGACGACAACCGTGACGCCCCCCGGAACGACCAACGAGTGGAAACGATGGCGACTCTCGATCATACCATCTTCTTCCATGAGCCACGGCACTTTCGCGCCGACGAGTGGCTCCTGTTCGAAATGGAGAGCCCTTGGGCCGGCCACGAAAGAGGTCTGGTGGCGGGACGGATCTGGAGCCATCGGGGCACGTTGGTCGCTACGTGCGTTCAAGAAGGCGTGGCGAGATTATTCCAAAGTCAAAGCCACAGTAAACTATAGGTAGTCAGGACGTTATTCCGGTAGGTGTAGAGTCGTCAACTCTAAATTCTGATGTGAGGTGTGTTGAGTCCAATCCAATATCTACAAGTGGGCCTGAGCACCTAGCCTCTCTCGGGTGTCCCCCAATGCAAAATCATTGCGGTGTTTCCTGCTCCTGACCTTGTCGGCGTCCTGGTCTTTGATGCCCCGGGCCTCGACCGCAGGATTATAGCCTAACCAGCTGGTCCGCGCAATATCCTTGTTACTTAGTTTCCGGTTCACCTGACCATCGGCGCGCTTGTAGATGTTGATGACCACGGCGCCTCCGAGGCCCAGGTTATGTTGCAGCGCCACCGACGTCCCGTCTACGAGACGATTGTTGGCCCATCCACGCAGCTGCCACGTCAATTCGGCGCATTGTGCCAAACCTGTCGCCCCGATGGGGTGTCCTTTGGAGATCAAGCCGCCTGACGGGTTCACCACCACCTTCCCACCGTAGGTGATGTCGCCTCGGCGGACCATCTCGTGGGCCTTGCCAGGTTCACAGAACCCCAGAGCATCCACAACCACCATCTCATTGGTGGAGAAGCAGTCGTGCACCTCGCAGACCTTGACGTCGTCCGGCCTGATCCCGGCTTCTGTCATGGCGGCCCGAGCGGCTCGCTGGGTCATATCGTAGCCGACAAGTTCAATGGCACTTGTCTGGAAAGCCTTTTCCGAGTCCGTCAGGAATGACTGTCCCGCCATCAAGATCGCCTGGCTCTTCAGATGCGGTCGGGCATCTAAGAATCTCTGCGAGACGATCACGGCTGCGGCGGCGCCGTCACTAGTGGGACTACATTGGAGTTTCGTCAAGGGCGCAAAGATGTTGGGCGAATCCAGGACCTCCTGGAGAGAATACTTCTGGCGGAACTGCGCATAAGGGTTGCGCTGAGAGTGTTCGTGCGAGATGCGGCCAATCTCAGCAAAGTCCTCTGCCGTGGCGCCGTACCTGGGAGTCTCTTTGGTAAGTTGATTGATTGACTGCCTGGGGCAAGAATAAAAAAGTGAGACGGAGGGATAGAGGACAGCCAGACTCACTTTTGCATATACTCCCGACCTGCGTTGGCGAAATACTGTGCCGTCAAAGGTGACTGTTTCTCGATGCCGACTAGTTCCCTCATCTTCGCGGCGAAACGTCCACTGGAACTGGGTCGGTCGCCCCAGACACTCTTCAGGCTTCCAGGCTGCATCTTCTCAAAGCCCACCACCAGGACGCAGTCCACATTGCCGCTCCTCACGAGAGTCCGCGCCAAATAGAGGCCCACGGACCCTGTCGCACAGGCATTGCTCGTATTGATGATGGGGATGGTAGACATGCCAAACTGGTAAAAGACGCGCTGACCCGACGTCGAGTCGCCATACGCGAAACAGGCCACCCCGTGCTGGACGTCGTCATAGTTGATCTGCGCATCCAGCATGGCCTTGACACCGGCCTCGTAGCCCATCTCCGGATACTCGCGCAGCCCACGGGGCTTGATGAATTTCGTCATGCCCACTCCAAGCACGTAGGCTTGGTTGTCGGGTGGGTTCGCCATTGTTGATGCTGGAGAAAGTAAAGCCTGAAACCTTTGCTGCAAAAGGACACAACACTTGAGAATGACGTGAAGGGGGAACTTGGGACTTCACCTCAGAACCGTGTAACTCACGAGGGACTCGTATTCTCAAAGATAAACGAGCAACCACCTGATCGTTGGGTGGTTACATGTTGGCCGAGGTAGAGGAGGCTTCTCCGAGTGAGACAACTTCAGTGTGGGAGCCTCGCCTGAGTTCCGGCACAGCTTTGTCGGCACTTTCTGGCCCGATCACATTCAAAACGGTGGCAGCCCTACAAGCTGCTGTGCATCAATCAACCTGCAATTACAATCCAGTAAGCTGGAGGTGGTAGCATCACTTTCTGGAGAGTAGAAGAGGGCGGGGGTGGCGGAACAGGAGATAAAAGAGACATGACTATAAGCCTTTCGTCCTTCTCACTGCTATCGAGATAACATCATTCAGTGGAACACTGATTGAGTACTGATCGCACAGAGTAAAGTCCAAATCTACTTTCTGTCTCTTCTCCCCCTTAGGTGGACGACCTTATTCAGTCCAGACTCTTCCAACATCACCATGGCCGAGAGCTTTGCGTTCTAGGTATACACGAGTAAAACATCAGGAGAAGTCAGTCCCCAATCTCATGCCATGATCGAGCCCGATGTGAGCCACAATGAGGCGTGCTGGAATTCGGCATTTCGGAGCGGAGCGACCTCTTAGCGAGGCTGACACTCAGTCGCAGTAGTGGAAAGGCCCAGGAAGGTTTGTCTCTCGAAGTTGTAGCATCGACGCCGAACTCCGGCTGCTTTGATACGAAGCACGGTATGGGCGCGATGAAACCTGCCGAAACAGAATCGATGGAACATGGAGTGCACATCTTCGGGAAGCCGACAATATTTGATCATGGAATCGGCCTCCGGCCCGAGGAAGAAGAATGCCAACGTCGGCCCAGGTAAGTGATGAGGAGACTGCGAGCCAAGAGCATTGTCTGCGAGTGAGACTTTATGGTGGTTGAGACAACTATATTAGCGAAGTCCAACTATCTCTGGGGGTCTATCCCCCTATTCTTTTTGAGCTGCTAAGGAGCGTGGCTAGCTATGTATCGTAGAGAAAACATTAAGAGAGTGTCATTGCCTTGTCGTAGTGCATGGGCGACCTGCTCATCCAATCCTTCGGAACACTGATTATTCCACCTCGCGGGCTCTGAAGTCAAGCGACTCACGCTTGATTATCCCTGCCTAGGACATTATGGAAGGGATTCTAGTCTTCATAAAAATCTAGACAGATACCGAACAATTTTTCTTTCAAGCGGCCATAAACTTGAAATATATATATTGGATGGGAACTACGTTCCCTGTCCCAAGTTCGGTTGTTGGGAAGGACAGCTTGTGGCTTACCAGCCAGAACCGTAGCTTGATGTGGTGTAGGAGGTGTAGACCGGGTAGCTGGAGGTGCTATACGTGGTCGTGTAGGCTGGCGTCGTGTAGGTACTGTAGGTCGACGATGTACTGTAGCTCGGAGTCGAGTAGTAGGTGGACCTGGAGCTGCTGTACGCATAGCTGCTACTGTAGGTTGGGGTGCAGGAGTAGACCACGCTGCTGGTGGTGTACGTCACGGTGGCGGTGTATGTGTAGGTCGAGACGGACGTTGCGGTGTATGTCGACGCACTTGTCTCGGTCACTGTTGCGTAGACGGTCTTTGTGCTAGTGGTGGTCTCGGGAGCAGGACAGGTCGAGTAAGTCGTCGAGTAGACCACGGGAGCGCTGTACGATGAGTAGACGGGGGCACTGTATGACGAGTAGGTGGATGTAGCGTACGAAGAGTAGACTGGTGAGTACACGGACGTAGTGTATGAGGAGTAGACAGGTGAAGTGTATGAAGAGTATGCCGATGAGGTGTACGAGGAGTAGGATGGAGTGTACGAAGAGTAGACAGTCGAAGAGTATGAGGAGTAGGCCGAAGTAGTATACGATGAGTAGGTAGGTGAAGTGTATGAGGAGTAGACGGATGTAGTAGTGTATGAGGAGTGCACTGGTGAAGTGTACGTCGTCGACGTGGTATACTTGGAGGGAGATGTGTACGTGCTCGTGGGATAGACTGGGGTGGTGTAGGTAGAGTATGTCGAGTACGTCGAGGAGCTAGAGTAAGTGACGTAGGAAGAGTATTTTGAGCTTGACGTGTACACCGACGAGTATGCTGAGCTGGAAACGTATGGTGACGAGTATACCGAGCTAGATGTGTATACTGGTGAGTATGTCGAGGAGCTGGTATAAGAGACATAGGAAGAACTGCTCGTGTACGCAGAGTATGTTGAACTCGAGGTGTACACAGGTGAGTATACCGATGAGTATGTTGACGTGCTCGTATACGCTGGGGAGTAACTTGAGCTGGAAGTGTACTCAGAGGAGTATTTTGAGCTGGTCGTGTACGCTGGAGAGGAGTATGACGAGCTGTATGTGTACACAGGTGTAGAGGTAGTGTATGCAGACGAGTATGTCGAAGTGCTTGTGTACGCTGGAGATGAGTAGGTTGACGTGGATTTGTACACGGGTGAGTATGCTGAGGAGCTGGTGTACACAGACGAGTATGCCGATGTGCTCGTATATGCGGATGAATAGACCGATGTCGATGTGTATGCTGGTGAAGAGTATCCGGAAGCGGAGGTATATGCCGATGAAGAGTACGTGGAAGCTTTGCTGTCTTCCGAGTAGGCCGTGCTATAGGTCGAAGTGCTGTACTCTTGATAGTCGGTGTTATCCCTCTTCTGCTCGTGCGGATGGGGCAGACCCAAAGCAGATCCCGCCAGGACCGCGAGCAACAGTGAGCACCCAGCCAACATTGTGTAGAATCACTGAGAGATTCTCCTCACGTATACAAGGGAAGTAAAACAATTGGTAGTATTCTGCCAGAAGACGAGCGAATGTATCGGGTGAGACAGCAACCAGCGAACGTCTTTGATTCTTTGTGGACAGAGCGAAAGGTGAGGAATGAGAGTTGCTGGAAACGAAGGGGACTTATACTAATTCTTCAGGCTTACATTGAAAGCATGTGAGACATTGCTGACCACTCTATGGCCACCCTACAGAGAGGTGGATTGTGGTAGAGTTCAACTATTTCAGGAAAAGATGGTGTACATGCAGAGGGGCGGTACATGGGAGTCATCCACCCTGCAAGAAGTGTTCAATGAGAGGCAAGAGGAGATGTGGAGAATGAATAATCGAGATCTGTATGATTCAAGTAATGGCTACTGTCCAGACAACTATTTTTTTGCCAGGAACTTCAAGGGTCCCCAGCCTTGTCGACATGCTTATTCAAATCCATGAGCTTTTATGTATCTGGCCCGAATTGGCCCGTTCCTTGGGGAGTCCTTACCCCTCCTTCCGGAGCAATTCTGTCAGAGGCCGATGTTGATGCCAAGGTTAAAAGCGATAGCAACAATATTGATGTTGAGGAGACTGGAAACCACCGGGTCGCTCTTGGGTTGTCGATGCGATGCTCGGTACTTCCACGTAGAACAGTGTTGCTGACTTAGGTATAGTGGCGTTGCCAGTACTTCCTACTTGTAGCTGACTACTATAGTTGTAGCATTTTCAGGTTGTCCAATTACATCACTGTTTAATACCTATCCAGGCTAGCCTGAGCACTTAAATCCAAATAGACTGAAATAGGTACGAGTGTGGGGCACTCTTAGCCAGTACCGGAACTCGTCCAGTGTTCTTTATTTATACGCCATGCTGATATCGGAATATTCCCGGCCTCGGTGAGTTTTGCCCATCATATTATTCCCGACATTTCTATCTCACACAAATCGTTTGAAGCCTAGTTACCTCCGTGTCCTGGATCCGAGGCTTTTTGGCGCACTCTACAGTGTTGGCATCCGAGAAATGATTCTGTTCCTCCGACAAGTTCCGCTGACAGGGAGTCCCCATTACCCCAGTAGCCTTTACCAGAAACGTTAGAAAAGAGGGCTCAGAGGAAATGCAAAGGTATTTACGGTTTTACGTTGGCGCAACAGATACCATCAAGTCATATCTAGGTTCTCTTTCAGTAGAAAATCTAAGAGCGAACAAGGCCCCTCTCCTGCCCCCAAGAGAAAGTTTTACAAGCCATTCAGAGCCAATTCACGCTTTCTACGCTGGTGTATTTGCATCAAGGCCCTCTCGATCTTCTTCGAAGGTAAAGATGTCTTGAGCAGCCAGGGCTACTTACTCCAGCCGTTTCTTTCTCACATTTGAGGGTGTTGTGTCTCAGGTTAGGGGTCTTTTTGTCCCATCGCTATTCGTCATATGTAATGGCCATCCATACCTCCGCGAAAATAGCACGGAGTGTTCCCGCGGAAGGAATCTCGCAGTCAACAGAAGGAACTGGACAGAGAGCACCGCGAGGATGAATACTAACATAGAAGTCTGCTGGTTCCACAAAGATACAACCCTACATCAGTCGATCAATGGAGCCACAGACACCATCGACGGCGAGCTAGTGCGCAAGTAACATACAAAGACTGAGACACGGCTCGTGGTTGCTGAAGATATTCCAGTGAAGATCGAATAGCCAAGCCCGTTACCCCGAGATCTATGGCGACGGTATGTCAGTTCAATGCTGATGACATGGTCCAGACTGACAGCATGGCCATCATTGGTGCCGGTTGTGAGAATGACATGAAGTCAGTGAGAGCTGGCGGGTAGAACGGTGTATGTCATGTTGTGGAGAAGCTAGTTGGTGGCTAGGTACCAAGGACGCATTCCAGTTCTAGTCTCCATTCAAGTCATCGGCGTGAGACAAAAAGCGTAAACAGAGGCACATACGTCTTGTCTTCGACGGAGGGGTATTGGAGCACCCCGCGAGTGAGCACGCGAGGTAGCGAGTCTGGAGCAGTGGAGCTACATAGCCTTGGCAAGATCCAGCCTTGTTGTGACACAACTACTTGTATGACCGTCATATGCTGTCATTCAAGGCTCTCTCACCATCCCCACACTGCGCAGTTTTCTCCAACTCATAAAAAAGTTCGAGATTGCCTTGGTGATTGTGTAGTCCATAAAGGACAATATCTTTACCATGGGAAGGACGACCCGCGAGGTAGGCGGCTGTGTCGCCCTGCCTTTGGAATTGCCTAGAACAACATCTTTCCCCCGAACAGCCACCCACTACCTCTACCTGAAACCTCACGACCCCAAAGTCCCCGACGAAGACGCACCCAGATCTTTGTTCTTGGTCAACGTGCCTGTGTGCACTACCGAAAAGTCCCTGAGACATCTATTCACGACGCAGCTTCAAGGTGGACGCATACAGAGAGTGCACTTCTCCGAGAATGCTCCAGACAGACAACCCGCCTCCGCAACGAAATCAAGTCGGAAGCGCAAAAGAATGACCGCTGAAGAAATCGAGGCTGGACTGGACACGTACTCCCTCCTACGCGTGTTCGACAGGGAAATCCACAAGAGTGGCGCGTCTGCGATTGTTGTTTTTGTGGACAAACCTAGCATGGAACTCACCTTCAAAAGTGCCCAACGAGCCGCAAAGGCGGGCACGCCGATCGCGTGGGAAGACATGGAAGATGCCGGGTTCAACGAGGCGCCACGCCTCGGGCTGCCGAGATACGAACACCACAAATCACTACAATACCCCTCGCGCAAGGACCTTCTGCGCTCAGTCAACGCATACATGACTGCCTACGCCCAGCTTGAAGAGTCGCGGTCTCGCGAAAACGCACGCAAACGCGCAGTCCCCGACGACGATGGCTTCATTACTGTCACACGAGGATCAAGAGGTAGTGCACGGGTGGACGAAGCCAAGGAATCGGCGGAAAGACACAAGGAGAAAGCCACAGCGTTGGAGGACTTTTATCGCTTCCAGATGCGCGAGAAACGGAAGCAGGAGCAAGAGGAGATGGTGAAGCGGTTCGAGGAGGACAAAAAGAAAGTCGAGGAGATGAGGGCGAGGAGGGGGAAACTGGAAATCAGCGCAGGCTGATCTCTCTGATGTGGCCGTTATGGTCGCTGACGATGCAACAACGTCCCGCTACAAAGCATCGAGCATTCCATGGCTCTGAACAAGTAAGTTCTTACCGCGTTAGCCTCCGATTCCATCTTTCTCAATGACGAGGCCGCTGGGGCCAGAGAAGCGTTCTGTTTCAGCCGTTGGATTGTCATGCAACCCACGGTGAATTGAACGCAATGCCTAAAACAACCAGCCACAAACATATCTTCTCAATTGTTCTGATGTACACTTTATTCTCGCTTTGATGTCCCATCTCTTCCTATGTAAGCTGATGCTGACTATTTCCATTAGAGTACTATGTACAAATTCCAACAGACATCTTCCGCGATATATTCATATATGTCGGTAACTCCCTATTATTTACAAGAATGTTTCGATGGGTTGGTTCTGTTTGAGAAAACAGAAGTTAATGGGATGAGCGGGATCAAACCAAGACAGTTTCCAAGATGTCCAATTCAAACCGGCGAGGATTGCCGTGCATCAGGCCGTGGACGTATGCTTCGCCCACCAAACGATGGGTTCTGTCACCCAACCCTTCGCCATCTGCCCTGCCATTGACAGGACGAAGAACGTATGGCACTTTACCACCACCTAGAATCCAAACCTCATCACCCACCCGAAGAGACCGCGATCCAGTTCCCAAAAGAGACAAGCGCTTTGTCCGGAACAGCCTTCGCAATTTCCCCGACCCATACCCGATATCATGATGCAATTGGGCAAGGTCAAGTGGTGAATATGAATCGCTGGACAACATGTTCTCTACCAATGCGGTCAATCGACCGCGATAGAAAGGGAGATTGTACGCAGAGTCTTCCGGCTCGGACGCCAACAGACCGTGCCAATTAGGGTTGGTAAGAGTCGAGATCGGTGTTTGATGTGGCTGGAAATCGGTGTCATGCGATGACCAGGGAGCTAACCGGTGGCGTATCTGCAGATTGAGGATATAGTCGATGAACATGCCTCCACACGCAGACGGAGCCGGATGTTGGCGAGAGTATGTGTTTGTGGTCAGCGTCCGCCAGAGGACGTCGAGGCGCGAGATAGGGGCCCCTCGGACTGATGGCACACGGTAGGGATTCGGGAGGTGGAAAACTAGATCCACAATACTGGCCCATGGCTGGCCAGCATCTGTCGCTTCATGTGGCATGATGGCTTTCTCGGCGATGGTATCGATGTGGAAACCTTGTACTGGCAAAAAGCCACGACGCAATGTTGTCTCGTCATCTGGAGGTGTCCATTTCACGTCGCCACAAGCAGACCAGTTGCATTTTCCCCGGAATTCGAGCGGATATGGCGTAAGAGGCACAGAGTAGTCTGGAACCCAGGTCGGAAGACCTTTGATCTTGGTCAACGATCGATCTTGCACATGGGATAACAAATTCAGATTCCGAGCGGCCCGAATAAGAGTGCATGCAGCTTCTGTGTACACTTGGCGCACTGGAGTATGATAGTTTGGCTTGATCTCCATGGGCGTCTTCTCTGAGGGTGACTTTGTCGAGTTGGACAGACTGAGAAAGGCGTACACCTTGTCGCGGGGATCAGTCGCGGCAGTATACCTATGCGTGTCGACCAGCATCCTCAGCGACGGGCCCGCACCTTTTTCTTTCTGGGAACGCGACTGCAGAACATTCCTTGTACTGTTGAGGTAGACAGGCGCGAGGCTGAATCTGGTATTGCTTGCCAGCAGCTTTCTGTACGCTCCTGAATTCCGGCTGAGCGCACGGATATGCCGCATCTTCTTGGTCGATAAGTGATGATACCACTTCGTTGCACGGATGAATTCAATCGTCTTCGCCAGTTGCTCCCATTGTAGCACTCGACTTCCACAGATGACCGTGGCAT